CCGGAGCCCCGCCCTCCGCCGCTCCCGACGTCACCTCCTCCAGCCCGAGCGCAAAGCACTCTGGGCAGGAGGCTGGAGCCCCCCCCCGCCTCCCGAGCCTAGCAACAAGAATGCCTGTAACCCAGGTCCAATCGCTGTCGAGAGCGGAAGGGAAGTGGGCGGGGCTTTCGCACTGGCGGAGCCAGTCCTGCAACGGCCTGCGGGGCAAGACCCACTGACACACGTAAGGGCGTCCGCATCTGGAGGGGGTTCTCCGAGTACCTGAAACACAGTAAATAGTAGTAAATGTTGAGTGCACAAAATATAACGGTAAAACAATAACAACAGCAACAACAAAAAATACCAGTTGCCGTCGATTCCGATTCCTAGCGACCCTATAGGACAGTAGAACTGCCCCGTTGGGTTTCTAAGGTTGTATATCTTTATGGGCTCAGAAAGCCTCATCACAGCCTCCAGGGTTCTTCCAAAGATAATGGCAGGCTAGGTTATCACATGTTTACCATGCTCGTGCCCTTTATTTTACATATATCCTGTGCCTGTAAGCTTTACAGGCATTGCAACCTTTATATCTGCTGGCAATGGCCGATGATAGGGAGCCTTGTACCCATTTCATAAGTAAGAACACAGGTACAGAGCGATTAAGTACTTCTTCTAAGTTCACAGAGCTACCTAGTGACACAGTTGGAATTTGAGACAGATTCTGGCTACCAGTGCCATTCTCGCCCTTGAAGTCAATCGACTAGGAGAGATGTGTACCCAGATAATTACACATACCCAACCCACTGCCATTGAGGCGAGTCCATGTAACCTCTAAACTACAGGTGGCGGCAGTGAGAAGCGCTTGTAGGCAGCAGGTGTCTTTCCATCCTGAAGTTTCTGTGAAGACTTCTTTCTCACCCACAGCGACAATCTGACAAATTGTAAGGAGCCCTGGTGAGGAGCTCTCATGGCATACTGATAACACGTGAGGCTGCTAGCCACAAGGTCTGCAGTTCAAAGCCACCAGCCACTCCACAGGAGAAAGAAAGATGAGACTTTCTACTTCTGTAAAGAGTTACCATCTCGGAAACCCACAGAGGCAGTTCGACCCTGTCCTATAAGGTGGCTATAGCCACTGATTACAGGCAGGGGGGTTGATTATTTTATAGGACAGCGTAGAACAGCCCCCTGCTTTCCAGGACTATATATCTTTACAAGAGCAAACATCCTCCTGGCTCTCCTGCAGAGTGGCTGATGGGTTCAACCACTGACTGTGAGGTTGGCGGCCCAATGTGTAACCCAGCATGCTACCAGGGCTCCTTCCATGCTATAAAGACAAGCTTTTTGGCTGTTATGATAAAGGTGTGCCACGTGAAGTGGGAGCCAGAGAAGGGAAAACTCCTCCCTGTGGGAGAGAAGGACAAGAGAGAATTCCTTAAGGATGGAAAACACCTGCTGCCTACAAGTGCTTCTCATAACCTTCCCTCTGTAGCTTAGAGCTCACACCCCTAGTTAATAATCAACCAGAGAAGGAGTCCCCAGACTGTATAATGCTAGGAAATCCAGTACCTCTGGGTCAAGCCCCATCTCGGAAAAAAATCAAAGAATCTTCAAAGGTTTTCACATCCTATAAATCCACCTGATTGCACTTGTCCCTCACCCCGTGAAGCAGTTGAGACCGGATGTACAGGCTTGCTTGAGCTTTAATGCAGGCCTTGTCCAGAAGAGTGAAGCCAACAGATCCTATTCTTGAATTTTTCAGCAAGCCTCCTCGTAGAGCTGCAGCACCGTCCACATCCCACCTGAGACCACCATCACTCAGACCTCAGGACGGAGAACGGTGCCTGGAGGGTAGAAGCAAGTCCCAATGCTTGACTCACGTACTTACTTTTTGTTCTCCAAAGCATTGCTAACATCAAGCTGTTACTGAAAGCTTGAATAACAGAATAATTAGAAAACGAAGGAGACTTCAAATTCATAAAACTCACTCAGTGCCTTCTGACTCATAGAGACTCTACAGCACGGGGTAGAACTGCCCCCGTGGATTTCTGAGACTGTACCTCTTTACGAGAGTAGAAAGCCCAGCTTTTTCCCAAGGAGCGGCTGGTGGTTTGGACTGCTGACCTTGCGGTTAGCAACCAAATGTGTAACCCACTAAGCCATCAGGGCTCCTAAGAAAGAGATTTAGGAGTGGCTATTAGATGTGCAGAATCTATGGTCCATTGGCCATGGCCCCTGGGGACTCCTCCATCTCCAAGGGGACTCTTCTCAACATTTTTTCATAAGCCACTCATTTTGGTCCCATTTTAGGCTAGACTTCCAGTAAACTTAACAAGAGTTGGGATCCCTCTTAGACGACAACTGTTGACAGTATTATGCAGAGTGGTTCAGCTGCTACTATCTCACTCCTCCCGCCAGAAGAGCTCATCTTCCCTCCCATCCTCCAGTTTCAGGAGGGGATTTTCCAGGGCTATAAGAGCAGCCTTTGTTCAAACACAGAGTAAAAAACAAAACAAACAAAAGCTGCAAGCAGCTTTAGAATAGCACCGTATCTCAGGTTCTGATCAAAGAGATGTGAGAAATATTGAGATCAAGCCAGAGTATTCCAGGACCACTCAAACAACTTCCTTGTTTTACCTGCCCATACCCAATAATGAAACGTCCATCACCAGTGATGAAAAGGAGGAGTATTTTGGAATGACAGACCTCAGTTGTAACCCCAAGGCCTTCTGAACCAATCACTCTCACAGGAAGTATGGCAGCCCCCTAGCCAGTAGTGCACGTACGAATGTGTGCACTTCCAGACACACGCATACTCTCATTGTCTCTAGTTATCCTCTGGCATGAAGAAACCAAGAAGGCTCAGCCTGAGATTTGTCTGCCAGGTGGCACCTTCCCTGCCCTGTGAGCCACAGTAGGGTCGCAGACAAAGGCCTCTAGGTTATCTTTTGCTTCAGCCCCATCACAGCAGCCAGCGTTGTTGGACCCAAGAACTCTTCACCAGAGAGTCAGGGGAGAGTGCCAGGGCCACGTGGAGTAACAGGACATTGAAATGTCTGCTTTGGATTTGGTTAGCTTGCACCCATGTCCCACAGAAATGGGACAACCTCGTTGCTCAAGTCTGTGCAGGATTTCTCTTCCAAATGATGCCCCAGTTTTCCCTAAGGATCCTCATCCTCTTCCCACTGAGATACTTTCCTTTCAGCCTTTCCAGACCCTCCTCCATCTTCCCCAACACCTACCACTTTCTTGCACAACTCTTTTTAATATATTTAAACCATTTAATTGTATGTTATATAAAATATGTGTCAAGCTTTTTTGGTTTGTGGTTTGTTTTGTTTTTTTAAGAGAAAGAGATATCAATGTTGGTGCTGGCTATCAGAAATAGTAGCATCTATATCTTAAGGGCTTGTCTTAAAACAAGTAGCCATCTAAATGAGGTGTCAGCTAAATCCACACAGAAGGATCACACCAGCCAGTGTGATCCAAAGAGTCAATAATAAAAGCCAAGATCAGAGGAGGAAATTGTATTAGAGCTAAATTCCGAGGACCCAGTTTGCAGAAGGCAACGGATACTAGTGAAAACCCAAAATCCATTTGCAGTTTCCCCACTCAGATTAAGCCTCCATTGACTTCCCTTGGTCTAGTGATGTAAGCAGTCCTGCCCTCCGACGAAGTGTATTGAAAAGTAGATCACTGCAGATTGTTGTTCTTAGGAGCTATCCGGTTGGTGTCAACCCCTAGTGACCCTACCCACAACAGAGTGAAGCACTTCAGGATCCTGTGCCATCCTCACAATTGTTCCTGTGCCTGAGCCCATGGTTGCAGCCACCGTGACCATCCATCTCCGCGAGGGCCTTCCTCTTTTTCACCGCCCTTCCACTTTACCAAGCATGATGTCTTTCTCCAGGGACTGGTCTCTCCTGACAACATGTCCAAATTATGTAGATGAAGTCTTGCCATTCTTGCTTCTAAGCACTCTGGTCATAGGTCTTCTAAGACAGATTGCACTGTCTTATAGCAGTCCAGGGTACTTTCAATATTCCTCTCCAGCGCCACAATTCAAATGCATCAATTCTTCTTCAGTCTTCCTTATTCAACGGCCAACTTTCACATGCACGAGACAATTGAAAATACCGTGGCTTGGGTCAGGCATACCGTAGTCCTTAAAGTAACGTCCTTGCCTTTCAATAATCTGAATAGGTCT